TAAAATATTTTTAAATTTTTAAAATTAAATACAACACATATGTGGTGCATATTATGATGTTATGTTCTCGAAACATTAAATATATAGCTACGTACACGGCATTTTACTTTTTCTTTATATATATATATATATATATATATATATATATATATATATATATATATATATATATATATATATATATATATATGTATATGTATATATGAAGTAGTATATTAAAGTTGCAATTGTCAAATCTAATCTGATGACAAAATTTCAACAAAATTTAGCAGATTCTTAGGAATTATAATATTAAATCTTGGCAAAATTTCAGTTAATCTTTTGTATATATGTATAGAAATTTGCGATGGTATGTATTGATTACCCAATCATTAGGATTTGCTGTAATTGCACTTAAAAGTTTGCTTGTAATGAAAATTTACACATGTTTGGATAAAGGCTCATCCCTAACATGAGAGAATATGTTTTTCAGAAAAACCTAATTGTTGATTTTGAAATGCTTATTTTTTAAGTTGGATTTTCCTCAAATAACTCATACTTCTTTATATGTTGATAACATGAGTACCATTAGAGTTGTTGTTAATCCTATGCTTCATAAAAAAAAACCAAAACACATAAAGGTGGATGTTCACTATATTGGAGATATCACATCATCATGTTACCTTATGCCCTAATACAGTTTCAAACTATAGATATTTTTAATGTCATTGATGAAAACTCGACATCAATTCTTAATTAACAAATTGTTGCTTGTTGATTCACCACGGACATCAATGTTAAATCTAGTCTGATGTCAAAATTTCAGCAACTATTTAGTAGATTCTCAGTAATTACAGCATTAAATCTTAGTAAAATTTCAGTCAATCTTCTGTATATATTTCCTATGATGTGTATTGATTATCCAATCATTGGGATTTATTATAATTACACTTCAAAGTTTTAAACTTTACATATGTCTATATAAAGTTTATATAAACATATGTTTTCATGTAAAGAAACTTTACATATGTTTATATAAAGTTCTATCTCTAAGATGCGAGGACACGTTTTCCAAAAAAAATAATTATTATTTTTGATAGAAACAACAAGAAGAGGAAGAACAGCAACAAGAACGGGCGGAGATGGCCGCTCCAGAGAGAGATCGATGGTGACCTGGCGGCAACCTGGTGAAGGGAAGTGGTCAACGATGGTGACGACCAAGCTGGTTGCCAGTCATGGCCTAGGCACTGCATGGTTGGTGCCGCCGGTGCATCTCACCGAGTAACTCCCTCCGCACGCCGCCGCTCGCTGCTGCTATCGTCACTCCCTTCTCCTCGAAGCTTTTCATCATCATGCATCGTTAGAATCTATTTCACCAAAGTCTACAACTCGATCAGTTGTGTGTTCTTGGACAACTTCTTCAACTTAAGATTCATAAACAACTGATGCAGCAGTAGCCAAAACTAGCAGAAACATATGAGATGTGTTTAGCAGTCAAAGCGACCACCACATCAAAGTGATTAGAAATGTCATGCCTTGGAATATGATCAGAGACGTCGTCAACTTCCTTTCAAAACCTAATCAGGTCATGACTTTTCATAGAATAGAAACCTGACTTTCCAATAAGGACTGCGATGTATTATTCAGTCTAGATTGGAAACAAACCACGAGTCAAGGAGATGGACTTCCGCAACGTTCATTCAGGTTGCATGCATAAGTCGATAGCAACAGTCTTTCCCTGAGAAGAAAGAACACACTCATCGATGAGGCATCACCAAATTGGAGCATATGGTCAAGCAAATGCATGTTTATGTTGGGCTTAGACGTGTTCTATTGGAAAAATACGATAAAAAAGAGGATGAAAATATTATGGAAACAAATAACAAACACAAGATTAAGAATACTCTAGGAAATATATTTATGTTTGAAACGTATATAAACACCTTCCTAAAAATGATATTTACATAATCTTCTTAATGAGATTGGGGTTTGATGCAAATAGTTTTAGTGGATATGACAAGCCTTTAGAATAGAAGATCTGTATTAAGGAATCTTCAAAGAGGAATTAGAGAATATCTAATTCAATCATTTGGAGAGTAAAGAAGTGCATGAAAGAGATATCATGATAATTTACTCTTAAATACCTATTTATAGATATTTTTTACAAAAGACACTATCTTTGAAAAATAACTACCAAAATAACTAAAAGGAAACCATCTTTTCAAATAAATCTTTTGAAAAGAATTTTTTTTTAATTTGAACAATTT